AAAAAAAAAAAATCACAACCAAGTGGGATTCATTCCAGTAAAGCAAGGATGGTTCAATACAACATACTGTATTAACATCTTTAGAAAAAGTCATGATCATCCTCATAAACACAGAAAGGGCAGCTGACAAAATTCAGCACACATTCTGGATTTCAAAAAAAGGAATTGATAAGTTTCCATCTTAATGGAAACTTGCTTTCCCACTGAAGTCCAAAACAATGCAAAATGGCCCCATCTTGCCACTCTGACTTGGTAAATTATGAGAGGATTAGCTAAAGCAATGAGATAAAGCAATTTGAAAACTCTGAATTGGAAAGTAGATAAAAACCATGTCTTAACACCGATGACGTGATTATATTTCTGGAAAACTCAAGAAAATCAGCAGATAAACTAGTACAGACTTAAGAGAATGTAATAAAGTAATAGGATGTAGCATTAACATACAGAAAAATCCAATATGTTTACAAAAATCAGAAAAGAAGGCCCCATTTACAACAAAAATACAATATAAGCTAAACTTTTTGTTTTCTTTTTTTGTGTGTGTGTGCTGAGGACTGGGGTCCTGGTCCTTTCTTATGGGGCCGGCCCAGCCTAACAGCTTGGGAAACTGCTGAGGCAACCATCTGTAAGGCCTGACGTATGGGCCTGTGTACTCGCCTCATCTCCATTTTTGATGACCTTAAAGGCCAGCTCTAAAAGATCTACTAGTGGCGTGTGAGGACCTTTTTCTAGTTTCTGAAGCTTCCTGCGAATACCAGGGGCCGACTGGGAGGTGAAATGTATGGCTTAGATGGCTCTGCCATCCGGTGACTCAGGATTAATGTTAGTATAGTTTTGTAGGGCCTCTGAAAGGCAGGAGGGAAAACCGCTGGGTTCTCATGGTGGTCCTGGTAGATTTCCCTAACTTTTTTATAATTAACAGCTTTCTGAATAGCTAGCTGCCTTTATGCCCTGAAGGAGACAATTAACCATATGGTCTCTCTTTAGGTGGTCTGGATGGGGCTGGGGGTGATTCTGGTCATTCCAGTTAGGATCCTGAGTAGGAACGGCTGTCTCCCCGGGGGGATGGGTGTATTATTTTGGCGATGTATGGAGTCTGCTATTGCCCTAACTTTTTGAATGATACGATCCTTTTCATCAGAGTTAGTACACATGGAGAGAATGATACCGATGTCCCTCAAGTAAGGTCATAACTAAGGGTGAGGTATTCAAACTCTTATTAAAGCGGGAGGGATCAGAAGAAAAGGAGCCTCGCTTGGATTCAGTCCGGCTCAGATCCATCGTTGAGAAAGGGACATTGGACCCCAACAGGGCCTTCAGCGCCTGCCACTTTCCTGAGAGGCATCTGGGTGGCTGGGGGTGCATAAGACTATTTAGTATGAGGAGGGGAAGAAAGGTCAGCAGCAGGCAGGGCAGCACAGGAGGAAGAGAAAGTATCAGATGTTGAGGAAGAAGAGGGAGTATCGGGTGGTGATGTGGAGGCAGCGGGTTGATATGACGGTGGGGGTGGGGTTTGAACTAGCAAAGGTCAGGGAGGAGAAGAAAAATCGGGATCGAAAGGATCCGCATCAAGATTAGGGGGTGAGGACTCTGGAATAGGGGGAGCAGAAGAGGCTGAAGCTAAACCCAAGAGGCATGGTCTGCCCTTAGGTGGGAAATGGGACAAGTCCCTTCGCAGCTTAAAAAAAGCCAG